TTGAATTTCCTTTTTGTTCCCTAAGGAGTTATTAGATTATAGGTCAGGGGCTCTATTTGTAATCTTGGATTTGTAGATGTTTGACTTTTCTACAATGAGCATATTTTTTTTTAATCAAATGAAATAATCTCAGCCTGTGCTAATTTATCTGTAGTGTCCAGATTAAAAAAAGACCAGGTGATCAATACACTGGATTTCACCTGTAAGGCAGTCTCTACCAGGGTCAGCCATCCAAACTTCTGAACTCCCATAGCACCTTGGTTTTGCCTTTAATTGTTGAATTAATCACACTTTATACTAATTATCTGGATATCTGTCTTTTTCTCAATAATACGAACAACTCAAGAACAAAGCTGAAATCACATGTATGAGAGAGAGAGAGAGAGAGAGAGAGAGAGAGAGAGAGAGAGAGAGATGTCTTTATATTAGTTTAGATATAACAGGTTTGGGATTTTAATTGGCAATTTAAACATCACCCAACATTATGATACAATTATTTAAATAACCAAGAGTATTAGTTGGGAGAGCAAATGTTATTTAATAATAAATGGTGTGACAACAGTCAACAGTTAACTATTTGGGGGAAAAAAGCAAAAGCTAAAAACAAAAATGGAAAACTTCCCACCAACGTAAATTCTTAATTAGTTGAGGATTAACATGCAAACATAAAATCTACAAATCAAGAAATGATGTTTATATATGAATGAAAAAAGGGTATCATATGCATAAAATAATAGAGGATGCCACAAAAGAAAAGATAAATATGTTTGCTTTTTATAAAAATTAAAACATTTCTATGTAAAAGAGCACTGAAAAGGTTAAAAAACAAATTTCAGCTTCATATCAAGTTATTTTTGTTATTAAAATTATATTTTAAATTATGGCATAGTAATTATGAGCCCAAGTAAGAGTTGACTATTCATTCACTCAAACTTGCTTTTGGGGTAGCTGTTGTACACCAGGCATTGTTGTATGTACTGTGGATACCAGAGAAAACCAAGAAGCTCTCATGAAACTCTCATTCTACTGGGGGTTGACTAACTATAAATAAATAACTGTATACCATATTTCAGCGATGATAAGTGCTTTGGAGGAAACAGAGTAGGGTAAGGAGTGTAGAGAACGTTGGTTACAGGGACCTGTCTTTTCCTATTTCCAAGGCTTTCATGCTGAAGAAGACATTCTGGTGAGGTGTCAAAATACTTCTTCCTTGTCTTTGTCATCCAGGAGACCCTGTGACTAGAGAGATTGCCGCCATCTCCCTCCTCCACCACCCCAGCTTAACACATGCGCTCACAAAAAGGTCTTTGCTTTGCCTGGTTGTTGCAACTTGCTGATCAATGACTTCTTTCAAGATAACTCTGGTGGTGTTGCTAATACATTTAAGGTGACATGTGAGATTTGCAGACGCTGCACATTCCCTAAAGTTCAGAGAAGTGCTGACATGCTGTAAGAAGAAAACAAATTGCATAAGCTTCCTAGCCGAGGCAGGGAAGTGTTTGCTTGTGTTTTCTTGTCTGGTTTATTTGGGGCTGCATATACTGAGGTAAAGGTGAGGGCATGTTCTGGATAATTCTTAAATCTCTATTTCCACACCCACCTCCTTATGCCCATGGGGAAATGGTTTTCTTCACCTGCAGAATGGTAGTGAGTGATTCATTTATCTCAAAGAAGGGAACTAAAGCTAAAGGCTGAGCACCTTGAGAGCTAGCATGGAAAGAGCTTAAAGCATTTTCGGTGAAAGTGAAACCTACGTTGATCTATAAGCTGGGCTGATGACACAGAGCATGGCTTTCACATCATATTGATATCTGCTCAGAGGCTTTTAAATATATTGACAAGATATCTTTTATCAGTACTGTCACTCTTCTTTGCTTGGATCAAAGTGATAGTGATTGGAGGATAAAGATATTGGAAAGTGAGCCATCCCCATTGTTTTCATGGGGCATTGCCCTGTGTAAGCAATGATACTCTCAGTGTGTCAACTCTGAAACTGTAGCAGAGATAAAATTCTTATGGCACAGCCCAAGCCTGTGTGGCTTTAGTTGGTTGAATGTCGCTGGTTTGGTTCTTCGTCAAGAGCCACAGGGGCCAGGTTGTGTGCTCAATCCCCAGTAGGGGGCCATGCAGGGAGGCAGCTAATCCATGTTTCTATTTCACATCAATGTTTTTTTTCTCTCAACAAAAAAATATATTTAAAAATAACTCTTATGCCACATACTGGCATTCATGGGATTCACTGACAACTTGCAGTAATGGAGATACATTGCTCTCCTACTTCCCCAGGTAGCTGTTAGATAGTTGCATGAATTTTCTAAGACTTTTTGTATTTAATCAATCATGTACTAAAGCATGAATCATCAATAAAAATGTATACATTTCAGGATACCTTTATTATTCTAAGGAGAAGTTTGGGCACAGGGAAGCTTGGGTCTTTTGAAACTTAATGCTTGATATTTGTATTCTTTTGGCATCTACCACACTGAGTAGAGAAAGTTAAGGTGAAAAAAATTGGTAGAAGATTTCATAGGGAAACTGAATCTAAATCTTGGGCTTAATTTAGATACACTCATCATTTGTTTTAAATTTAAATAGAGTTTGAAAACAGAAAGGAATGTGGGCTAAATCCAACAAATCAGGAGATCTAGGGGATATAGCACTTTTAAATATTATAGGCCTTATCACCTGTTTGTCTATTTATTGTATCTGGAAAGTGCTTAGGCATATGTCGTATGTAATATCTATAAATGTGTACATGGAGTTAACAGGTAGATTATTCATTTAAGAAATTATATAATTGATTTTTATTGTGCACTTATTATGTGCCTGACACTTTTTAGGTATTAGGAATATAACATTGACCAAAACAAAGCACCTGCTATTTATTTGAGTAAGCTCAATATATGATAATACATACGGAATTCTATGATACAATACCTGGATGAAAGTATTAGGGGAGAAGGAGTGATTAGAGGTATTATTTTAATAAGGAGACAGGGAAAGATGTGTTATTTGAGCAGAGACCTGAGTAAAGTAAGAGAGTGAGCCATGTAGATACTTTGTGGAAGAGTGTTCCAGAGAGGCCACCATGAGTGAAAAGCTTGTTCTGCATGATCCAGTCTGTTTCTACCCCAGTGGCCCTTGACACAGAAATTAAGCTCTTTGATCCTTGGCTTTCTCAATTGTAAAGAAGACATAACAATATTCGACCTTTCTCTCTGCTGGGTTGGGGATGAGTATAGCAATGTTTGAAGGTTGACAGGACAGCCCTAACCGGTTTGGCTCAGTGGATAGAGCGTCTGCCTGCAGACTGAAGGGTCCCAGGTTCGATTCCAGTCAAGGGCATGTACCTTGGTTGCAGGCACATCCCCAGTAGGGGGTGTGCAAAGAGGCAGCTGATCGATGTTTCTGTCTAATCTATGTTTCTAACTCTCTATCCCTCTCCCTTCCTCTCTGTAAAAAATCAATAAAATATATTTTTTTTAAAAAAAAGTTGACAGGACAAGCCAAGATGGTATAACCCAAGGAAGGCAGTAAATGATACATACACATGTTTCAGAGTAAGAGAGAAAGTCTTTAAAATTCACTTAGAGCTGTCACAGGCATCAGTGCTAATTCTAAGTCACAAAATGTTCTCAAACTAATGAACGGAAGATACCAAAGGAATGGTCTTCCTTTGACCCCCTAAGACTTTCTCTCACATTGGGATGACTCACTGATTTGTTTTCTCCTTTGCAGGTATAGAAAATGAAAAGATCCTGCTTTTCCTTATTTCAAAGCCTTACTGGGGATTGGGTTGAGCATAAAACTTGTGACTATTGAGCTGGGTATTAGGACACACTCCTGGAAAATCTACTGGTTCTCCTGGCAACACATTTTTCTATTTTTCTCTCTCAGAAACACTCCAGGGCACTATCTGCTGTGTAGGTGTAGTTATTGGTATTATAAACATGCCTCCCCTTCTTAATGATCTTCTCCCATCTGCCTTTAACACCTCATGAGAGGACCTTCTAGGCAGTTATTTTATAGGAACGCAGGCTTCACATTTGGTTGGAATCCGTGTGGGAAGAAGGACTGTGTGGAGAGAGGCATACACATGTTGTGTGTATTACCTTGAGGGGATCACCTTCTCCATTCTGATTTCATTATATTTATCATCATTATGGTTCCATAACTGCACAAGACATTTAGACATATTCTTGGCCTCTCGCATGAGCCAAATATTGCTTTCTGTGATTTTAACACCCTTCTTTTGAAAAAAAAATATGATTTCAGTGTGACCATAAATAGCAAAGCCCAAAGTTTTGAGAGGGAGCCTAAAGGCTGGATGGGGAGGGGGTGCCTCCTCCTCTGGGCTCTTCCATGTCTTGCTCCCTGCCCTTCACTCAAAGGTTCTGGGCTACCATCTGAGGTCAGTTGGCATTTCACCTGTGTCTGGGCTTTTTCAGCACCGATGCACCAAGCACTGAGGGAAAGGCAACAACACAGTAATACCAAAACAGGTAGAGTGTGGGAGGATGGATCTGAGCACTTAGAAAGAAGAATGTTCCTATAAAAAAGGCACTTGCAGTACAGCCAGTGAAAAATGATACCAATTACATAAAGCAAAATGCCACCCATCATGCAGAACATTTTAATTCTCTGTATTTCAGGCTATTTGCGACTTTTTTTGTCCAAGACTCAATATGTGTTGTCTGTAAAAATAAAAAATAGAATCTACCCCATCTGTTAGGTAGAAGGGGGCTTATGCTAGCAAAAAAAGGTGAGGAAAACATTACAAGCCTGTCATTGGAGAATTCCAGCGACTGCCACAAAGGGGCTTTAAGGATAACTTTGCCCCTTTTTGATTTAGTTGTATGCAGAAGAGAGGGTGGCTAAGTTTATTGAGACTTTTAAAATTATATTTAAATTAAGTTCAGTGTAAGGAGTTTATATTTTGATTGCTCACTCATTCTATCCAGCTTTAAAACAAAACAGAACAACAAAACTCTGTTTTCCAGGGCAATGTTTCCTTTCATTTCTGCCGGAGGTGGTCAAGGGCTTACAGCTGGTTTCCTGAACGGGCGCCACAAGATGGCGACAATGTCACGGTGGAGAATGGCCAACTGCTCCTGCTAGACACCAACACAAGCATTCTCAACTTCCTGCACGTTAAAGGTCTGTAGAATTTGGAGATCAGTGATGACATCAGTATATATATAATTCTATCACTTTTATGGGAAAGGAGGGAGGGTGGTTTTTTTGGATAAGTTCTAGTACTTGTTGACAATTTATACTTGGACCAAATTGAGATTTTGCTATGGAAGGAAGAAGTGGTCATAGGGTTCAAAATGAAAGCTCTTTCTTTGGATTCTTGTAAGCACAGAGCTTGATTATTTTAATTTTTGAAATACAAGGAAGTTACCAGTTTTCTGAAAGAATATGCTTTCTTACCCAAGCACTTTGTAGTCATGCTTGTCCAGGGCAGCCCCCACAATGTAGCAAAATGCTCTGACATCGGTTAATGCTGCTGCCTTTGAAATTCCCTGCCAAAAAGGCGACGTTTTCCTGCTTTTACCCTGTTGTGGTTTTGACTTCCTGGTCCCATGGAAAGTCATATAAATAGGCTTCCTTATTGCAAAACCAGCCACTTAGCTCTAGGGTCTGGGAAGCTGGAAGAGACTAAGAATTCAAATTTCAATTCCTTCACCACATCACCAAGTGACTAATTCAGTCATTTCGCCTCTTTGTTTACTTATGTTAAATGAGAATAAAAAGTATTGCCCATTTCAATGGCTGATAATAACAAATGGTTATCAAAGTGACTTTGTTCATTGGTGAATAAAAATTGCTTGGGAAATGTGATTAGTAACAGATACCTATAAAACTCTTCATTAAAACACTATTTTTTTTACTGGAAATATATTTAACAGTTCCAGAAGGATTTCTTCTTGTTAAAGTAAGAGCAAGGCTACATGAGAAAAATATAATATTTTGAAGAGATTAACTGATACCATTTTGATACTTGTCTCTTACAGATGGCATTTTATCATTCTACTAGAGGTCCAGTGCATGAATTCGTGCACGGGTGGGGTCCCTCAGCCTGGCCGGAAATCATGGCCTATCAGGGCCTGCTGGCTGAGGGGGAGGAGCTGAGGGAGGAACCACCGCCAGTGTGGGGGAGGGACCATGGGAGGTTGGCTGTGGGAGCGCACTGAACACTAGGGGGCAGCTCCTGCATTGAGTGTCTGCCCCCTGGTGGTCAGTGCATGTCATAGTGACTAGTCGACTGGTCGCTTAGCCTTTTATATATATAGATACTCTGGAAGCTGTTTTACTTTTCTGTATTAGCAAAGAGAAGTTTGCAGGCAAATAACTTAATTAGTACCCTTTAGGAAAAGTGGTGTGTCAATTTAGACTCTTGCCTTTGTGGTGTGTGTGTATAACCAGTGGCCATGGGGAATGTTGACTTATTGACAGCCATCTATGGTCTGCAGACTAGCAATGATGAAGGAAAATTACAGACCTAAAGCTTCAACTCAAAGAGAAGATACTGGTTGGAGACTTTTAACCAGGACTCTCTTCAAAGAAGTCAAATCTGTTGGAGAATGAGATGCCCTTCAGGCACTTAAGTGTTCTTGCTTTATACCATTTGGAAGAAGTTTTCCCACTAAAAGTCCTCAGATTTAGCCTGAGTCTCTGGATGTCCCATTAGTTCCAGGTAAATGTTCAATCCAAGAATGGTGTTGATAGGGCCAAGAACTGAAGATGGAGAAGCTCCAGAGGGAGAATAGAGGGCAAAAGAAATGCAGGGACGTGCAGAATATACAGTTGGCTTCTCAGAGTTTCAAAATCTGAGCATCCCAAATACTTGCCCCAACCTCTCACCTTCCAAGATTAATTTTCCTTAATATTCCTGGTTCAGGCCATATTTCACTCCCATATTATTTAGAATAAATGAGTCCAGTTTGGGAGGGCAGACCCTCATCCTATGCAGCGGGAAGGTCTGTTATCTGAAGTATCCTCTTTCTTTTAGAAAGTAGGACCATTGATAGGAGTGTGAGGGTAAGTAGTAGACACCTGTTTCTGTACAGATAGGATACAAGAATTGTTGGCAGGGAGCAGGGTTGCCTAGAATGAAACTCTGAGTTTTTTATTATAGAGATATGGGTCATAACTTCTAGAAAGAATGAGAACAGAGAAAGGACACAGATCAAATTCAATTCAACAAATGACTTGTGAATGCTTGTTAAGTGGCCTATGACATCTGTATGAGATACAGAAAACAATGAAGAATAATAGTTAATATTAGGAGTGTGTATTATCACTAAAGAAAAACTAATTAAGGAGAAAATAGAAAAGGGTAAAATTTCTAGTTCTAAAATATGTGATGCAGGCAGTAACACAGAATATATTCCAGAGTAATGAGAGTGTCAGGGATGTAAGATTAGAGTTGGATGGTGGAGAGATGGTGAAGAGCATATCATTTGTGTCTGAGACCAGTTTTGATCATGTAAATATCAACATACACTTTCCCATCTCACCTATTGGAATTGTACTTGTCTAATGATTCAGGCCAGAACCCTTGGAGGTGTCCTAGACTTCCTTCTTCCCATATCCCTGAATCTTTAATATGTGTTGCATACATCAGTACTTCAATTGGTACGAACTTAGTCTTAATCAACATAATTTTGAGCTAGGATCATTTCAAATGACCTCTTAATTGATTCCCATGTTTCTAATTCTTTGTCTTCCTTGGTAGCAGAGCCCCAGTTTGTATTTGGGAAAGCAATGAACTTGCTCAAATGCAATCTATTCCTGGTCTCCTTTGTGGTTGAGAGTTGGCCAATGATATGCAAGGGGAAGTGTGGTACAGGACATCTGGGAAGTTTCCTAGAATAGAACTGACACAATAGGAGGCATGTTCTATTTGTCCTTCTTCCTCTTCCATGCTTCCTGGAATGTTATTGTCATGGCTCCATTTTCAGCTGTCATCTCTGACTATGAGGTGACTTGTTAAGAATGGGGATGTAGTCCTACCCAGTTTTTCTCAGTGGATAGAGCATCGGCCTGCAGACTGAAGTGTCCCAGGTTCAATTCAGGTCAATGGTACATATCTCAGTTGCAGGCTTGATTCCTCATGTGGTCTCACATTGATGTTACTCTCTCTCCGATTCTGCCCCTCTCTTCCACTCTCTCTAAAAAAATCAATGGAAAAATATCCTTGGCTGAGGATTAACAAAAAAACCCCACAACAAACAAACAAACAAACAAACAAACAAACAAAAAAGAGTGGGGAAGTAGAAGAATGAAAAAACCCAGGTCCTGATGACTTTGGAGTTCCATAGTGTCATGGCAACAAGGACTGCTCGCCTTTGAAGTTACTTTTTGTGATAGAAAAACAAGCCTTCATGTGTTTAAGTCATTGGTATTTGACTTTTATGCTGTATGCTAAAATATCCCCCAATAGTTTATTTTCCATGTTCTTTAAAAATATGTCATAGCTTGTTACTTCTTTCCTCAACCCCACCCCATGGCTTCTCATCTCACTAGAGATAAAGTCTAAAGTCCTCACCATTATCAAACTCTGATCCTTTCATTGACCTTATCTTCCTCATTTACTCTGTTCCAGCTTTTCTGTGAATATACCAAGAACACACTTGCCTCAGGGCTTTTGCACATATTGGCCTATGCCTGGAATATCTTTCCTACAAATATTCATGTGGCTGGCTCACCCATTTAATTCATGAGAAAATGTCAGCTTACCGGAGAGGCCTTGTTTGGCCACCTGTTCTAAAATTAAAACGCCTTCCTATTATTCTCTATTCTTTTATTTTGCTTTACTTAACAGCACCTATCGCCACATGACATAGTATAAATTTGGTTGTTTAAAATCGGTTTCCTCTACTAGAACAAGCTTAGAAAGGCAAAAGACTGCACCAACTTATTCATTACTGTCTCTTTAGTGTCTAGGACAGTGCCTGACACATAATGAGGACTCAAAGAATATGTGTTAATGGTTGAATAAATGGACAAATAAAGTGGTGCAAGTCTTGGGTGAAATTTAAGAAGTATAATTTTTAAACTATTGCTCTCTTAAATATCACTTTTCCTAGCTAATTCACTTTCACTGTCCTTAGTTATTCTGACTGATATATCTAATATATCTATCAGTAGGTACATAATATATATATATATATATACACACACACACACACAAGTATATATCTATCTATATATATATATATGCACAAATATATATATACATATTTACATCATATACAGACATATATACATACATATACCTATGTATAAATCTATGTCATTATGAGTTGTTAGGAATATAAAACTGGTAAGTTATTTTTCTATTTCTAAAAGGAATTTGAAACCAACTCTCAAGTGTCTTGTTGATATAGCACAGCCTTAAACCTCTAATGTCTTCTCTTGGTCTATAATATGTGTGAGAGTATGTGAAGGATAATAAAAAGCTATCCAAGTATAGCACTAAATCATTATTCTCCTCCTCATCAACAGCAAGTCACTCTCTCAATGTCTGTTACTGTCTATCCTTTTCATACCCATTCATAGTATCAGAAAAATAGCTGAGTGGGATTTCTTTATTTTTCTGATACCCTACATAGGCTGAGATAAAGCATGGACAATTTCAAGCCAACCCCCCCCCCCCACTTTCTTAAAAATTTTTTACCAAACAAAATATAAAGTGTTATAGTGGAAGTACTTTCAGTCATTTTCACAATATTACACAGAAGGCTTTCTAAATGAATAGTGTACACCGTTGGGAAAGATTAGTATGAAATAAAAGTGAAAATAGATCACCTAAGCATGACATTTTGGACTACTTCATGAAAATATTGCATCCTCTGTATTATTTTGCCATTCATGGAAGCCAGCATCCTGGTGTCTAGAGGATCAGGCTCCTATACCAGGAAAACCAGCACTTGTGCATGTGGCCCTCAAGAGCCTTGGACTCTCTGGGCTGTACTTATATTTTCATCTGTAAAATAAAATTGACACTTTTTCTTACAAGGACAACTTATATAGTAGAAAGGAGGATTATAAATTTCTTTGAGGCAATTGGGAATGGTACCAGAGACAAGGTTTTCTCCATTATTTATGATGCTACATACACTGATTTTTGAACTTTATTGAAAAAATGG